CCATTGGAAGCCAACTCAGTCTGCACACAACAAATAAGTCGAAATAGTAACTTATAGTGATTGATATAGTCACGGAAGTCATTCGGACCCCAAATCTTCCATATAATTTATAAACATGATCACATAGCCAATAATAGCCATATGAAGCCAACTCAGTCTGCACATAATCAAAACTCAAAATAGTGGCCAAAGGTCATTAAAAGTAAGTAGAAGTCATTTGAACTACATATCTGTCATGTCAAGTTTTGATCAAAAAGCCATTATTAACCACTGAAAGCCAACTCAGTCTGCGCGATCAAATAACTCAAAATAGTTACAAATAGTCATTGATTGTCATTAAGAGTCATTTGGAACAGAAATCCACCATATAATTAGGAAATAAAAGCAAATATTAAATAATAGTAATAAAAATCTAGTCTGAGACATAACATTAAAAATATCACGAAATGGTCACTAATGGTCATTAAGTCTGTCACAAGTGGAACTACCTAATAAAGAGCTGCTTGGTCTCTATGCCCCGAAATAGCTCAGGATATTGGCCCAGAGCCATCAATAGCCCTTGGAAGGCAATCTAGTTTATACTCGTCCAAATAACTCAGAAGTAAAATCCAATACTCATTGCAGTCATTACAAGCTAACCAGACCACCAAAACGACAGGTAATACTGAACCGGACACTATTTCTGCTTCCTTATAAATACTGTCTCTTCGTTAAACAGCGAGTGTAGCATATACTGACTGCAATTACGAAGTCGTGTAGCTTTCTCAGCCTCAATAAAAGTGAATCTCATATAATTTAAAATAATGACCCATGGAGCAATTACATAATTGAATTGCCGCGCTTTATTTCTAACTGCAAAGAACCAGTCACTACAGCTAATAACAGCCATTGCCTTTAGAGTGGTCCATAAACAGTCAACTTACTAGAAAGTGACTAATTCGCAGTAGGTCGTATGTACCAGCTGTAAGATATAGGTCCATATAATCTAAATACTTACTGTTAATATGAAGCGCACCTCATTATTGGAAATACCGTGTATCAGCTCTTGTTCAAGTGAAATCGGCACACCGATTTGCCAGATATTCACAATTCCTGATTGTGTGAAGAGAAAAAAATAGTGCAGTGAAAGACTGTTATCCTCTCAATTTCGAGCTCATAGTTTATTATCCCACACCGAGAGATGGCAGCACTTCTGTGTCTCCCGACAACCCCGTGTATTTTGGCTCCAGTTTCCAGTATTGGTAGTCAGTGGTATTTGCCTCCGGCTTCGTCTCGACCACTCGGTTAACTGCATCGTCAAATTGCATCGTGACGACATTTTGACGTCACCGCCAACTGCATCATTTTACGAGCATAGCTCGAACTGCACAGGGAGAAACTACATTTCAACGTCATGTTAAGTGACCCTAGAGAAGAGCCAATCAGTGCCCGATGCAGTTTTCTACATCATTTAGTTTGCGCTCCAGCATAGATAGACTGGTGGCTCACCTCGCGCTCAGCCTCTCTCGAGAGCGCGGTGGCTGAAACCTTCTTTGTATCAGACTGAGAGCCTCCATCCTATTTCTCAAGACCCTCTTGACTATCCTGGATGACGCTAACAACCTGGACCGACCGATGGCGGTTTGTTTTCTCGGGGCATTGCATAGTAACCTGGAACCCCCGCAACCGCCCCTCATTGGCGCCCGAGTGGAAACAGTTCCCCCTTTTTATAGAGCTGCTGGTGAGACTTTCTGGCAGCTCCCCGCCCACGTATCAAAACAAAACGTTAAGGCTCCGGCATCTCGTCTTGTTGAGATCCTCTACTCGTTCCAGTTTCGGGCGCCGTTGCCGGGACTTGGGCGGTCGTACACAGCAAAAAGCCCTCTCCCACGGTAGCTTAAGTGGAAAAGTGTTACTTCCAGTGGAAGAGAGGTTGGTGCCAGCGAGCAGGACAGGAATGACGAAAAAATCCCGGAGAAGGGGAACCAGGGGACCAAGGACAAACACATATTTCCAAACACAGCTAGATGACCGGTGTCGTGTTTGAATATATGTTTCTCCTTTGTCCCTCTTGTTCCCTTTCTCCAAAGATTATTTTCGTCTTTTTTCTCCAGCACGCTTGCACCCTTGCATTTAATTGCATTATCGGCAATTTTTTGCTTGCCTATTTGATCCAGCTACGGCAAAACGTCGAGGTTTTTTTTTTTGTTTGTTTGTTCGGCATTTATTGATTTTTCGAACACTGCTTGTAAGCGAATATTTCTACACAGAGAACAGAACAGGAACCGAACAACGAGCCGGATGACCTCTCAAAATGCCAATGAAGCGTCCCCCAACGTTGAGTGCCTTTCTGTCATGCTCGGGTAGTAATTCAATTACAGTATTTAATTACTGTAATTCAAATGCTTTTCTTAGTAATTCGTAATCGTAATAATTACTTCCGGCTGAAAGAAATTGTAATTTGATTACTTTCTGGTGTTGGTAATTGCAAAGTTTCGGGCCAATTACAATAACTTTTGCAAAACTTTGCGGCGCCAACGGAACGTTTTTGAAAGCATCAGCGCTCGCACAAGCGGATCAGCTCTCAGTGAAACATTCGCACACAGACACGCACAACATAAATAGCCTCGCATTGTTTGTTGTTTTGTTGCTTACACTGTAGTCGGCGGAGACAATCCTCTATGGAGCCTACCTCGATGGCGCCGTTCAGCGCTGTCTGCGGTGAGAAGAGAAAACATTAGCGTAAACATGCCAAAATAACGAAAGAAAAAAAAATTGAGCTTCAGCTTTCAGTTGAAGTTTGGGAATTTTAATTGTCTATGAAGTAATATTTCTTTCTTTTTTTTACAGTTTTTTACATCCCTCTTCTAGTTCTGTCGCATATTTGCATCTTTGTGTTATTTTTAGGCTTATTTCCTTTTGGTTTAACTTCGGATATTATTTCCGTAAGCATTTAATTGACTGACCTCACACCTGCGAATATTGTCACGAATGATTCGGGAGCCCCGATTCGGTTCTTATATATTTCTGAACCATTATAATTTCAACTGAGTGTAAATAATTTACAATACTATGATGTTTGTATGTAAATGTGGTCGTGTTAGCGCGTGTGGATTTTAGTTTTATATTAACAATTGTAAAATAGTCATATATGACAAATTGTCGCATTTTATTTGTCTGGGAAACCAAAGTCTGTCTACCCAATTTTTTCTTTGGCGATCTGGCGTCTTCCAGCATAGGCTCTAATTTATTATTATTTATTAAAAATTTAAGAACACAGTACTTTATTGCCGCAAACTGTCAAGTTCTATGATAACTTTAACAAAATTCATTAAAGCAAAGCACAATACGTGACGTTTATGTAGCGATGCTTAAGTCTTCTGAAACATTGGGGCAAGGAATGAGCAAATGTGTTGCATTCTATACAACTCATTAGTTTAAAGTTATGTGGCCCGAATCGGGCCGATCTCAGAAATAAGTAATTGTAAAGTAATTGCATTGCTTTTTAAAAGTAATTTATAATAGTAGTTAACTCATTTTCATGTAGTAGTAATTGTAATTGTAGTTAAACTACTTTTGAAGCAAAGTAATTGTAATTGTAATTAAAGTACATTTTGGAAGTAATTTACCTATGTATGCTTTCTCAATGCAACCTACTTGAAGAAGGTGCGACCAGTGCCGTGACTATTATGTGGGTTCTCTTTGTTAGTTAATCCATTACCGTATTTCAGGTTTGTTTATAGTGAACTACCCATATAGGAAATATGGATTGTAGTGAAACGATGCGTCTACAGTGTGCCGCAGGACGTGGTATTTAGCGATGTCACTATAGCTGAAGTGATCTTCGAGAGCGAAGCTCTTAGGTGCTCATTTCCGGCTTATGCGGCGTCGCCGTCGCCATCGGCGTAACCGCGCGTTGTATTGAGGGACGTTTCCCACAATGACGTCACACGTGACGTCACGAAGGACGCGACAAATGTCACGACCTTCGTGACCTTCACGAGGCTTTCACGAGGGACTCACAAGTGACGTCACGAGGGAGGAGGGAGTGGGAGGAAGAGGGGAGGAGAATTAGAGGAGGAGGATTGAAGAGGGGGAGAGGAAGGAGGAGGGGAGGAGGAAAGAGGAGGAGGAGAGGAGGGGAGGAGGAGAGGGTAAGGAGGAGGACGGGCATACCCTCCTCTGCGTACCCTTTCCTCTTCCTCTTCAAGCGCTGCGCTCTAATTCGGCATTACAGGGAGTTGTAAACGTCTTTCATTTTTTTGTTTTCTTTTTTTGTCCAAGAAATATTTTCTAACATGTACCACTGATGTTCTGCTCTTTATAGTTGGACTTCATAGAAAAGCCCTAAAATGTTTTTGTTGTTTTTCTTTTTCGCCATTTTGTGTTGTTGCATACTGCAGATAACTCCGGCAGTTGGCGACGGAGTTATCTGCAGACAATAACAACCTGACTCTGCAGATTCCACGGCCGAGGAAAGTACGCCTACAAGGACAAGCCTCCCTCGGACAAGCCATCGTCTGCTGCAGAACGAGGAGGGAAGCAACTGGTCACAGCAAGTGACAGCGACAGCACCCACGCCAACGACAGAGGCGGCACCAAGGACCCGTCTACAAAAGAGGCAGACACGGCATCGGCAGCGGCAGTCGGCGACGGAGTTATCTGCAGACAATAACAACCTGACTCTGCAGATTCCACGGCCGAGGAAAGTACGCCTACAAGGACAAGCCTCCCTCGGACAAGCCATCGTCTGCTGCAGAACGAGGAGGGAAGCAACTGGTCACAGCAAGTGACAGCGACAGCACCCACGCCAACGACAGAGGCGGCACCAAGGACCCGTCTACAAAAGAGGCAGACACGGCATCGGCAGCGGCAGTCGGCGACGGAGTTATCTGCAGACAATAACAACCTGACTCTGCAGGTAGGAACTTTTTCATTACCTAAATTAAACACTCAACTCCCGTCGCCGACTGCCGACTGTTGATTGCCCATTACTGGTTACCGATTGAGGTGTCACAGAAATGCCGAAAGACGACGATACCGAAGACTTATGCTTGCACTGTAAAACTTCCATAAGAAAAGAAGACAGTGTATTAGAATGTAACGAATGTCACTCCAAGTACCACTTAGGACCTTGCTCAGGAGTAACCGAAATCGCCCTCCGAGGGAAGAGACCGGGATTTAAAGAATTATGGAAGTGTCAAACTTGTAAGGGGGCAAGATTAAGACTTCAGAGCACACCTGAAGGCGGACAGCCCAGTCATGAAAAGCTGGATGTGCAGCAACAGCTGACTCAGATAATGAGCATGTTGAGCGTGCTCGCACCACTCAAACAGCAAGTCGATGAGTTAGTTACAATGAAGCAAACTGTGATGGACATAGAGAAGTCTGTGCAATCAATGTCGGACAGCTATGATGAGCTACTTAAGAAAGTAAAAGACCACGACAGTGAGATCAAAGATCTAAAAAAGAGGGTCAGTGAACTTGAAAACGAAAAAAAGAATGACGAAACGAATCAACTAAAAAAAGAGATAAACAAGCTGGAACAATACGGACGTAGAAATAACCTCGAAGTACATGGACTGGCCGAATCTTTGAACGAAAACCTACTAGAAAAGCTGAACAAAATCGCCGACCAGATAGAAGTGCCCAGACTAACCACAGATAACGTAGAAGCAGTTCACCGCATCCCCACAAAAACAAAGAAAACACCCATGGTGATAGTACGCTTTATCAACCGAAACGATCGAGATGCGTGGCTTAAAAATAAACAGAAACTGAGGAGTGGAGCGGAGGTAGATAACATCTATCTAGAAGAAAACTTGACCGCTTCAAACCGAAAGTTGTTCTTTGATGTCAGAACAAAAGCAAAACACCTCGGGTACAAGTTTATCTGGCATAAAGAAGGATGCTCGTATGTGCGAAAACGAGAAGGCGACCCGACTCTAAGAATCGAGAATGAGAGTGACCTCGCAAAAATTGAATAGGGAAGTACATTCACCATATTAGACATGGAAAGGAAACAAACGTGTCTTTCTTTTGAAAAATGGTGGGATAGAATAAACGCTACTGTTAACGAGTTTTGCTTTGTTCTTCTACACACCAATGTACGCAGTCTTAAAAAACATTTTAATGAAATAAGCAGTATGATAGACCCTTATCTGGACAATTTAGACGTAATTGTATTATCAGAAACAAATATTTCATCTGATGAAGAAGCCTTGTTCTCTCTAGATCATTTTGAAATATTTTCGCATAATAGAGACGGGAAGAGAGGAGGAGGTGTCATGATCATGATAAATCAAAAATGGAAAATAACCAAATACGAAAAAGTAAACTTTTGCTCAACGGAGGCACTACACATTGAAATAGAATACCACAGAAAAAAAATGTCTATATTAGGATTATATCGAGCACCTCAGGGTAATGTAAACACATTTTTAGATGATATCAATAAATGGCTAAAGGACAACAAAGACACAGACTTAATAATTGTAGGGGATATTAATCTTGACATCACAAAACCTAGTTTAATGATAAATAATTACCTAGATGATATGGCACAAGCGGGACTGGAATCAATGATATATGAATTCACAAGAGAAGAGATATTAGGCGAGAAACTAACACAGTCATGTATAGATCATATACACGTGCGGTCGAAGGAAGGGAAACCCGAAGGACAAGTAATTTCTGAAAAAGTGGCTGACCATTATTTTGTGGCAGTAACTATTCCAGATCTTATTCAAAACAGTAATAAAATTGTTGAAGGCTCATTTATAAATAATAAAATAGTCGATAAACATATCCAAGAAATCGACTGGAACATTCTCGCCGAAGAACAAAACCCAGAAAAATTATACGATAATATTGTTAAAATATTCAATGATATTTATACAAAGTCAACTCAAAGATGCAGTACGAAAAAACGTAAACAACAGAATCAATGGATAACTAAAGAAATTGACGACCTGATCAAAGAAAAAAAGAAAGCTTGGCAACTACTGAAAAGATTTCCTAATAATAAGAAGTACAAAGAAAATAACAGAATAATTAGGAATAAAGTTACAGCATTAATAAGATTAACAAAAAGAAATTATTACTGGAACAAATTCTCTGAGACAAAAGATACAGCAGAATGCTGGTCCTTGGTAAACCAACTGTTACAACGAAAAAAGAAAAAAACGATTGAAGACACTATTCAAACAAACTTCGGTCCTGAACATGACTTAGGGATACTAGCAAATAGTTTTAATACAGAATATGTGCAGTCAATTGAAACTTTATGTTGTACGACAACGGAAAGACAACCAAATCAAATAAGAAATAATGATTCAATATTTTTCCCCGATATGGATGACAATGATCTAATTGAAATTGTAAAGCAATTAAAGACTAATAAGGCAACAGGGTTTGATCAAATTAGGGCTAGAGATATTAAATACCATATCACTATAATGAAACCTGTCCTATTACAGTTGTACAATCGTATATTTTCTAGCGGCATCATTCCAAAAAAGCTTAAAACATCCGTTGTTCGGCCTATATACAAGAAAGGTGAGAAAAATAAATTCCTAAATTATAGACCAGTTTGTATCCTTTCTGTGATAAACTATATAATGGAAAAATATATTAATAAAGTTCTTAGGTGCTATATCGCTAAATATAACCTACTAACTAACACACAATATGGATTCAGGGAACATATAGGAACCAGTGACCTTCTAGAAGACTTTTTTGACTATGTAAATGAAAACATCGACGCCGGTAATTATGTTCTAGCCTTATTCATAGATTTTACGAGGGCCTTCGAAACAATCAATCATGATATATTAATGGATAAACTATATAGTATTGGAATTCGAGGGAAAACATATGATTTATTTCGGAATTATCTTGCTGATCGATTTCAGGTAGTACGTTTAGGTTCAAAATATAGCAAGGAAATTAAGGTAAAACAAGGAGTACCACAAGGTACAGTCCTCGGTCCACTACTCTTTAATATATATGTTAACGAGATAGCACAGGTTAGCTTAAAAAGTAAGCTCCTTCAATTTGCAGATGACACGGTAATTGTATACGCACATAGAAATTACGAAGTAGCGGCAATGACTATACAAGATGATATACATAAAATTATTCAATGGTACCGTAAAAACCAAATAATTGTAAATGTTCCTAAAACGCAAGTAATATGCTTTAGAGATCCAAGAAAGAAAATCGTAAATGAATTTCCAATAAAAATGCATGATGAGAACTGCGACAACTGCTCGTGCATCCCGCTAAAATACGCTGATAATGTAAAATACCTGGGTATGCACATAGACAAATATGTTAAATGGGACATTCACATAGACCAGGTTTGCAAAAAATTAAGGGTATTAATGGCCCATATGTACCACATCCAAGAACTAGTACCGCGATCCATACTTAAAATGATATACAATTCACTGGGTAAATCCGTACTTCAGTATGGAATAACAGTTTACGGGCACTGTGCCAAGTATTTACAACTAAAGATAGAATCTATTCAAAAAAGGATAGTTAGGAATATTGGGTACCGGCGTGAAGAAACAAATCTCTCAGATTATATGCATAAAGAATTAGGAATATTACGTTTCAGAGATCAAATGAAGTACGACATTATAATAAAGCATTTTTTCAACAATAAATATAGGCGCGAAAATAAAAAAGAAAGGACATTAAGACCTAATAAAAAATTTGTTGAACCATTTGTAAGAACAAGATATGGAGAGGCCACAAGGAAATATTACATACCTAAGCTTTATAATACATTACCCGATGAGCTACTTGAAATAAAATCCCCTAGAATAAAAAAAATAGCAAAAAAGTGGATAATTGAACAGGGAAAAAAAGATTCTTAAAAGGTAATAGGTATAACCGATGAGTATCCCCGAAAACGCAGGATATAAAAGGTTGTTATTGTGTTCTATTATTAGAATTGTCTCGTAAGTCGTGAATTCTATTCTTCTTTACAGTATGTAAATGTTAATTCAATATGATTCGATGGGTTTACACATGTACTCATAAAAGTAGGCGAACTAATATAAGCTGCAGAAGGAGGTGGAACTGCAGTAATAGGTACTAATATTGGTATGTTTTGTTATTTTTAGTTATGTGTGCAATAAAAATGCAGAGGCTCCTGTCGCGTCCCACACACAAGCCATCATTGGCTTACGTGGGCTTTATATTGTATTATTTGCAAACAAAGTAAATAAAGATGGTTTTTGTATTGTATTGTATTGTAATAAACCATTCTGGTTAACCATATTTCCGCAACTGTATAATTTTGTTTGTCGCTGAGGTCGGTACCAATTACGTAAGGCGGAAGTATCTTCAAAAGTAATTGAATTACATCTCTAAGTAGATGTACTCTACTCAAGATACCTTACAGTGAAAGTCACGTGAGTAGTATTTGTGACACACTTTTATCGAGTATTTTGTCCAACACTGCTTTTGTGGCGTCGGTGACGCGCGGTTGACACTTTTTTGAAGTCTCAGCTGTTCCTCCTTTGGGAGCGCGAGTTCCTGCGGCGCTGGTCGTGCCGGTACCTGACGGTGCTCAACGGCCAGGTGCGCTTAACCTGCCTTTCCTTGGGCATGTTGTAATACGGAATCTCTGCGGTCCCTCCGCGCCGGCTGCGAGGGTCCAAGTAATCATTGCGTCGTTTAACCTTCGTTTTGTGCGGAGCACGCGTCCCCTGTGACCTTGCAACATTGTAAAAACTCGCACTTGTGCGCAAATAAATTTTTCTCACCCTGCAACCTCTTTTACCGTATATGTTTCGACACCAAAATGGCCGATCAAAGCTAAAATTGAACAGTAGCAGCGGACATTACCAAATGCGATACTCTGGCAACACAGTGACTCTAGATGTTTCCCTCTGTAACGGGCTACGTTCAGTGCGTCATCAAGTTCGAACGGCCGCCTGACCTTTCGAACTGCCCTCTGCTCTTTCAAATGCTTCTACTGTCGTCTGCTCTTTTAGACTACACCGGCCCGTAGGTAAAATGTTGGCCTGGTACTTGCGATGCGCTCGGTTCGTCCGAGAACATGAATATGTGCCGTGAAAATGAAAAACCAGACGCCGTCGGACCATGATTGCTTGGGCAGGAAGCAGTTTGGGTTGAATTTACGGATACTTGTGTTCATCAGATTTATTTGTATTGTTCCAACATGAACGCCGGAAAACCGTCAGGTTGTACGGACCACCTACCCGACTACGTTCAGTGCGTTTTCAAGTTCGAACGGCCGCCTGATCGTTCGAACTGCCGTCTGCTCTCTCAAACGCTTCTGCTGTCGTCTGCTCTTTTAGACGACACCGGCCCGTAGACCAAATGTTAGCCCGGTACTTGCGATAAAAAGTAAGTGCGGGCCTAAGAAGACAAGCTTGAAGGTTGGTATGCAGGCTCGATGTAAACAGTAGATACAAGGAGATGTTGATCATTGTTACGAGTGGCCATCCCCGACTTGTTATGCCTGATTCACTTGGTCCTATTCTGCTTGCCATTTTAAGTGTCGACGTCGACCCCCTCGGTTCACGCTTCTGCAGCCCGAGCGACGTCGCGACTGAAAATTCTGAGCGAAATCTCATCACGCGAATCAGGCTTTAGCGTACACTCTGCGGCCTCGGTAATTTCGCTAAGGTCGCTTAAGTAGTCAGACATTGCCAGGAGGACGTACTCTCTTAGAAAAAAGGGTATCGGTAGTCCTCCCTAAGGGGAGGAACGGTCTTGTAACCTATGTTCCTTTAGAAAGGGAGAAGCTTTCGTCCCTGAAGCAGAAGAGCAAATAGTTTCTCCGTCGCTTGCATCTCATTACGGCGGCCCTGAATCCACCAGCTCGAGCCCAGTGAGGCTTAACAAGGACGCCACGCCGCTTGTACGGGACGAGAGGAGCAGCAAATAAAGCGTAACACGAGCTATCCGCGAGCTGTGTTTATTTCCGAAGCCAGAGTTCGCCCTCAGGTACAGAAACTTCCGTTTCGAGAGTAGTTACTCAGTCTTCCCGTCCTCAGCACTGCGATGTTGAACGGAGACAACCGAT